AAAAACACTCCAAGATGTGTCATGTTTATTGATCTCAAGAAAGGAAAGAATTGCCACACCTCCCTTTCCTCCTTCCCCCTTCTCTTTCCTCTTCTCCCTTTCTCTTTCATCTTCTCCCTTTCTCTTTCCTCTTTCCCTTTTTTCCTGTTCCACTTACCCCTTCCATCTTTTCCTCTTCCTCATCACTTTTTCCCTTTTCCCATTCGTTTTTCCCTTTTCACTTCCCGTTTGCCTTTCTCCATTCCTGTTACCCTTTCCCCTTTCATCTTTTCCTTCCCCTTTCCCTTTCTACTTTCCTTTTTTTCCTCTTACCCTTTCTTTCCTTTTTTTCCTTTCCTCTTTCACTTTTCCCCTTTCCTTCCCACCCCCCTCTCCCTCTCCTCTTTCTGTCTCCTTTTTTCTTTCCCTTTTTTCTTTCCTCTTCCCCTCTCCCTTTCCTCTTTCCCTTTTTTCTTTCCTCTTCCCCTCTCCCTTTCCTCTTTCCCTTTTCCCTTTCTTCTTCCTTTTTCCTATCGTCTTCCCTCTTCCCCTTTCCTCTTTCCCATTTTCCCTTCCTCTTTCCTTTTTTCCCTTTCCCCTTTCCTCTTTCCTTTTTCCCCTTTCCTCTTCCCCGTCTCCCTTTCATCTCCTGGCCAGCCGCCCTTCAGGCTCTCTCTCTCTTTCCCGAAGCGAGGCGACCCTTTCCACGACGAAGCAAGCCAAGCCTACCGAATAGTCTGCTGGTTAACCGTAATGAGCAGAGGCACGACTGGGGAGGGGCGGAGGGGGGAGGGCGGAGGGGCGATGGGGCAACGGCGAGTGCGATGCCGCGCTGACGTCACTCCTCGCTGTGTAGTGGTCGAGGGAGACTACTTCGACATGCTTCGACCTTTGTCATTGAAATCACCTGTCTATTCTGTTCCTTACTATCATCGCTATTGTTATGATCAAGGCTATAGTAAAGAGCGTTTTATAATTGTCATTGTAACAACTGCAACTGTTATGGCAGCTTTAACTAGAACTGCATTTACTTCGAAAAGCCATTCTGAGCATTCGAGACTACTTCAACACTCGAATTCACCATTTTGTAAAATTATTTGTCGTCTTCTTCCCAGTAATTGTAAGACTACGGCCATCGTTGAAATATAGTGTAGTCATCTTCATCGTTTTTTTTCACCTCGATCACTGTTATCTACAACTCTCTCTCTAGAATTACTACAGTGGCTTCATCGCATAAAAGATCAGCAGAGGAGTGAATATTTCCCGTCTCTCTTCACTCTTCTGTGCTTCCATTGCGTAGATTCTGGCATCTTTTTTAATGGATTTTCACTCTGGATTTTACACCTCGCAGTCCAGCTACTTACTGATAGGGCGCTAAGTTCCTCCTGGTCTATGCAACGTGACAAGCTACCTGGAATACTCTAGAGAGAGCTATAGATTGGGGAAAGAAATGGTTCAGGTCGCGGTATCAAAGGTAAACAACTTTTTTCTCCTTTCTACGGTTTTATTGAGGCAAGTCAATCACTTTTTTGGATATCACTTAGGCTGGTTTTATTTGTTGTCGACTGAGTTGCATACTTTCCAGTTTCTAGTCACATGAGCCCATCAAATGTGTTTGATAATCACATGTATTTTCCGCTCATTTAGTCTGTAGTCTTTGTCATCAAAGTGCATCAAAAAGCAAGTACTTAAGACGAATAGAGACAATACTGACTCAATTATCTCATTTCTTTCGTTACATTTGCCTGTTACATGTTCAAATAACAATAAGGAATCATCGACAAGACAAAAGCGATTATTGTTGAAGTCCCTTACAAGAAAATTTTGCGAGGACCTGTCGAAAGCCACTTCCTTCATCTCCAGCGGAAACGGTTTGTTGCGAAACTTATCTGCTGTTGCCATGTTGCAAATGCGACGTGACTTCATGAGGAAAGTTGAAAGTCCGTTACTTCCACGCCCCTTGCTCATTATCTAAGGAAGGGACGCGGTGACACTGGTGCCAATTGTTTAGTAATGTTCCCAACTTTTTTTTAAATGGCGACTATAGTTTCGTCATATAGCATATCATTGTATTTTATATTTTATAAAGTTTTTATCAACATTCATAAGAGGCTTTGTTACCCATATTTTTCCTTTTTACTCTGATATACTCTCAGATTTTGGATCAAGTTGATAATGAATAAAATTCGTTTTCAAACAGGCTTCCTTTGAACATGGCAAACGTTACCTGCCAAATCAGCGCGTATGTCAAATATAAATGATTTCTCAATCTACACTTTTAGTATTTTAATAGTCGCGAGGTTTGCACATATATAAGATTCTTTCCCCTACGCAACGTATGTTTGCTCCTCAGTATGATATATAAGGATATTCCTTTTTTTGCGTGAATGAGACCGAACCTGCATTCTGTACGATAAGTTTACTACGGCTCTTGCAACAATAACAAACAGGGCTGCCAGACGCAAGCGTGGCGGCGCGAAGAGAGAGTATAAAGCACGTGGTCGGCTGCGTACCGCGGTTA